AATAAAAAACTCACGCTCACGCTCGCATTGAACTGTATATCAGGCTTTACTACTAATATCACTAGAAACTGTAGAGTAAGCAACATTCTGCACAAGTAAAGGAGCCGATTTTATGTGTGGGAGCGAGAAGACTGTTTTATTACAAAACCTTTATATTAGGTTCTTTCCCGTACGCAACGCGGGATCCCGCGGGTGCCCAAAATAGCCCAGAAATCATTCCCGAACTCAACAAAATGGGTAATAGAGAGCGAAAATTGGAACGTATTGGATAGTAAGTGTCTTCTTCTTCCTGCCCAAAACAGCCCGGACTTTTTCTCCGGGTAAAAACGGATAAAGCGCCAAAGTGCATATCAGCTGTTTTGTGTTTACATGTTGCCTGTTTCTAGTGATGTGCTGAGTCAGTACTTTTAAGTATTGATCGATATTCGGTACCGAAACATTTAGGTTTCGAATAAAAGCGCACATAGGCCAAAAATATGGAAAAAACGGTTCAGGGGAGACTCGCCTATAAAAACCCGAATGTAGGAGCCAATAGAGCTTTTCATACGGATTCAAATGAAAGATGTATATATGTCGGAGAAACTGTTCCTTGTTTGAAGCATTTTTGTTCCAGCTGAATCGGACGATATCATTTTTGTAGGCCTGGGGGCAGATTCTGTAACCAGTTAGCGACAATTTTCAAATCGGCATCGGTTTTGTTGACGTATGATATGAAATATTTGTACGTCAACAAGTGCGATATCGATCCGAAACTTGTCGCTAACTGGTTACAGAATCTCCCCCCTGAAAGGCTTCTTCATCCGTAAAAGCATTTTTCTTGAACCTTGGATCAACTAAGATTAAAACTGATAAAATAATATTTCTCTGTTGCGATAAGTTCAAGTGTTTTAGCCGATATCATATAAATTAGTAATTAAAGTTCTTTCTAAACTTGAAATTCATATAATGGCGAAGGTTTAATGTTAAGAATCGGTATCGGGTACCGAAAAGGAAGTATATTGTACCGAAATCTTTTTTAAGTATTGGGTACCGAGTATTGGGTACCGAAAATTCAGCACATCACTAGCTGTTTCACAAATTCTGGGCACGAAAAGTGGTTTTTTGCGTTCCCGTACTTGTGGATTATGTTTCATTTTTGAGAGCAAACTTTTCGCTTATTCTCTAATTACCGGATCCGGTCCGGATTTTTAGGGAAAGAACCTATTATTTAATCATGTTCTATCACTATATATCTGCACCCTAATGTTGGTGGATGTATGTACTTTCAACTTGCTGCCAATATAGAAGTATTACATATACGCACAAGGTGTATTCAATAGCAGTACCCTTTTATTTTTTTTCGCCTCACGGCTTCATATGTCAAATGGCTGCTGTTGATTGGTTGGAGCAGTTGATTGTTTATTGTTTTCTTTTCTCTTTCACATCCTTCGTATGAAATTTTTGACAGTCCTCGCCGCAAAAGCAAAAACAATACATGTACATTTTGTTATTGTTGTACGGATACCACCTTATTGAATACGCCTTGTATATGCATATACATATGCCATTTTCACACTTTGGGAGAAATATTTTATTTAAATAAAAAATCCCATTTTCATCTAAAAGTGACATTCTGGAAATATTTGAAACGCCGTAAGAAATAAACAGGCATTGGTAAAATTCGGGAAATATTTAGTCATAGGTACTTACCATGGTGCAATGATCATTTCAATTAAAAACACAAATTTGCTTTTATTAAGTTATTCCTTATGTCATTCGATCAATAACTTCTTGCGCTTCTTAACTGCAAGTCAGTTAGGCGAGCAAAACAACTTATGTTAATGTCACAGCAAATTTAGAAAAAGTGATATTCTGGAAAATATTCTGCCTTATCCTGAGTTTCACCTGAAAAAAAATTCACCCGAAAATTTGTCATCCGCCCATAGTAAAACCATGGAAACCAAAAGTGAAAAGTGAACCGGTTCGGGGAAAATGAAACTCATGATAAGGCTGATTATAATAGAAAGCCACGCTTATGCTGATACAATTTTTCAGTCAAAAATAGAATAAAACAATAAAAGTTGAGGTAGTCATTCACAAGCAGTTGCGCCTTTTTTTCATTGTTTCTTTGTTTGTTTACAGTGCCATATTTTAAAACAATTACATAATAATAAAATTTTGGTAGCTTAAAGAATATTTGTATATTAATCATTTTTAAACCAGTTTTTGAACATTTCATATATTTTTCAGTTGAAGAAAGAAATAGTAAAGTGGGAAACAAAAATTTGTAATAAGATGGTACAGGATTTAATTTGAGAAGAAAGAATACACAGCCGATTTGAAGCGCTTTGGACTAGTTTCCGATTTTAGTTTTCTTGGCAAAGAATTCCAAAACTGTACGGCTCTAACAAAAAACATTCTTGATGTAACTGAATACATAAAATAACGTACGAAAAGATTGCATGTGCGAGTTGACTGTGTAAACGTCAGTTTCGAAAAAAGGTATTTCGGGCAACGGGTGTAGATAACTTTATATATGAATACGACCAAACGACGATCAAAGAATATAGATATGCTGCAGTCAAGAATATTTGTCGAAAACTCGGAGATGTGATCAAATTTACGCTTGAGATATATATATCTAGCGGCATTGTTAAATAATAATTGACATTTTCCGAGGGATTCTTTATCGAGACAACCATATATTAACTCGTGGTACGATATTATTGGTACCAATAGCATTTTAACAAGCTTAAGTTTGACATCTTTGGGAATGAAGTACGCTGTTTTCCATAATTTTTTCGTTTTTACCACCATAAAATAATTTAAAAAGGGGGAACATACTTTGTTTAGAAATGACCCATGTACGTTAAAAACTAAACGCGAATGCCAACATTATTATTTTTTTTTGGTGCTTATGACGAAGAAGGTTATACATAGCTTTAACCATTTCGGCTTTGTTGATTTTTGTAAATAAAATAATTAAAATATAAGTAGTAAAAACTAAATTATATTTACTTATTTCGTAAAAGTAATGGAGATTCTATTAACACGTATTTCCTTTTATTTCAATTATTAACATACATACGTACATACATATATCCTTATATTGCAATTATTTTCTTTTCAGTTGTTTTCTATAGCTATAGCATGTTGCTGCTGAGTATATCAACGATAATTGCTGTGAGCGTACTCTACCTCTCCACAACCAAGCATAAAGGTCATTTACCTTATTTTATTAAGACAGTGATTAATGGACCATTGAGCAAAGTACTCCTTTTAGAAAATTTTACGTTGGAAGCTGATTTTGATATAACCATGAATAATGGCACAAAAATGTTGGTAGAGCATCAATATAGAAACCCTGATGGTATAACCGATGCAGCAGGAATAAATGCGGCTACGTCATCATCTTCTAATCGATTTTTTCAGTTTGAATGGATCCTGCTGGCGTCAGCAATAGATCGTATTGCTTTTCTTTGTTATTGTTTAATATTCATGGTCCTAGCAATTTTGTACGCTATATAAGATAAAGGCATTTCAATTTCGAATACCAGATTTATTTTAAATACATCTGTATAAATCATATATATCTCTTATTTACACAAGTATGTATTTAGTTTAATTTAAAAATAAAGTAAATTGATTGTTTAAAACTAAATTATGAATCTGGTCGAATCGTGACAGACGTGAACGAGTTGCACCGACCACTAGTTAATTACGTGAGTCGTCTGAACAAATTGGGATTATGACACATAACATATCGTAATTTGTTTAAAGTCACGTTGGATTTAAAGGTTACAATAGTGCTCGAATTGCATTTTTCGGTTACAATAGGGCGCGAATTCGAATTTTTTTTTTAGACACAAAGATTTATATATTTTGCGGAAAAAGTAGTTTATTGTACAGTTGTAAAACTATCGATAATGCCACCATCGATAGTTTCCATGTTTCAGAAAAAAACTATCATTACTCGTAGATAGTTTCCAGCAATACTATCGATAGTGTCAAACGCTACCATCGATAGTACTATCGATAGTCAATGTAATGTTAAAAACTGTTCTAAATTGACAGGGACGGCATCGAAAAACAAAAAAACAAAATATTGAAAATATAAACACACGTAGGGCCGTTTTCTTAAGTAACTTTTAACTTTAAAATTCACTTTATGTTTAAATATTGCTTTAACATGTATAGTTCTGTCTAAGTAAAGCATTTTATTAACGAATTTTATTTATTTATTTATATATCTATTACTGAAGCTTACAATTAAAAATAAAATGATTAGCCTAGTAAAGAAAGCTCCTTCTTATGATCTATAAAGCATGGCGACAAAAATGGAAAAAAATTTGTTGCGGCAAATGTTACAGCTGTTTTTGATTGACTTGTCAGTGCTGATTACGAATCCATGAGTATAAGGTTTCCATCAGCTCCGGATTTTGTGAAAAACGAGGTCAAAATGTCAAAAAATCGGGTTTTTTTGGCAATATTTTAGAAGCTCTAGCAAAGAAACAAAAGGCGGTATTAGGCTTAAATTAAAGCTAGAAGTCTCGACTACTATCCCTGAAAAAACCATCCCTACATCTTTACCTGATGGCCACTTATAGTCATTTATTGAACAGCAAAACCTGATTTTGTGCGAAGTTTGAGTACCCATCGCAATTAAACAAAAGGGGATAGAGCCTTCTACTTGGGCTGAAATTAAGGCTTGAACTTTCGACTACAATCGCTTAAAATACCATCCCTGAACCTTAACCCTAAGGTCACTTATAGTTATTTATTTAACAGCAAAAACTGATTTTGGCAAAACTTATTTATTTTTTTTAATAGCACAGTATTTATTCCAGTATTTTTATATTGTTCAATAAATGACTTTTAGTGACCATCAGGTCAAGGTGCAGGGATAGTAGCCGAGAGTTATAGCTTTAATTTAAACCCCAGTTAAAGGTTCTATCACCTTTTGTTTTTTGTGCTAGACCTTCTCAAATATTGCAAAAAACGCAATTTTTTGACACTTTGATCTCGTTTTTCTCAAAATCTGGAGCTGATGGAAACTTTATGCTTACGGAGCATCTATCAAAAGTCTATCAAAAACAGCTTTATCATTTGCCGCATTTGCTTGTTTAATTGTTGCTTATTATAAATTTTCAAATATGATATATTTTGTTTAAATTTCATAATATAATTTTTTGATTTATTTACAGCCAAGAAACATACAAACGTCAAACACCGATTATAGAAATGCGTTACTTCAGACATAACCTTATGGTTTGAAGCAACGTTTAAATATAAAGGGAGCTTTTCAATTAAAGGTTGCTTGAGAAAACGGCCATTAAAGGAGGAATCACAATGAAAGTATCACTTTAATAAAAAATTGACAAACTTAAAAAACTGACGCGCAGAAACATGGAGACATTATAAATAAAATCGGCTGTGATAGAGGTTTTAAACTATCGATAGTCAACTGGTACTATCGATAGTTTAACCTTTTTTGAGAAAAACTATCACTACTCATCGATAGGGGCAAAAAAATAAAACTATCGATACTATCGATAGTACCATCGATAGTTTGACACCTCTGGTTTATTGTTAATTCTCCACAGATTTTACTTAAATTGTATTAACTAGTTTTTAAATTTTAACCTTTATTTGGGTTTACCAGCGGTAAACATTTTGTGAGAAAGTGCAAGCGGCACGGAAGTCTTCGTCGGTTACTTTATTATATATCTTCTGTAACCATAGGCTAATTTCTCCATTCGAGTCTTTTATACTCCCCCTTTTGTCCCACATAAGGCGTCATACTCAGCAATCGGTGCCATGACATAGCCTCATGTGGTATAACTCTAATTTTGAAATTTGTGATTATGTCACTCCTTGTGTAGTGATTTAAACCTTTTTTTTTTACTTGGGGTTATGTCAAAAGGCGACAAAATTCCAAATCCCTCATGTAGTTTTGCAAAGCAAAAGAATTTGGAATTTGTAATAGTAATGATAAAATTTTTGTCAAAACACAGATATGAGCTGGCTTTGCCTACATTATTTTCTTGTCAACGCCTATTGGCCATCAGCCGCGCTTAGGGATTATAACCCTTACTAAGTAGAATTTTCCTTTTTATGTTGCCGGAAAAGAGCGGCGGAAGTATTTTTGCGCAGAAATTATTGTGTGAAACATAACGATTTAAACAAATAAGCAGACAGTGGATTCGTCGAAATAAAAATATAATACAAATAAGCAAAATAGACAAATATTAGGTGTGTTCGTTTAAAATCTCCAGTAAAAAACATCCAACAGCAAAAATCCGGCTAATGTTATCTGTTCTTTCACAAGAGAAATATATCCAAAATAGTACGCGAACAGAAAATAGGCAGAAACTTGCTAGTTAGACGAACAGCTGATAGAATTTTTGTTTACATTCAAAATTGTAAAATTTAAAACGTACGAAAGCTCATCACAAAAAGTTTTCCTGACACAGTTTATTGATTAAACGAATAATTTTTCCAGCAGAAACTAGCAGCTTCCCCTCAAAATGAAATGTCACTTTGCTCTCTCCTCTCCTACTTTGCAAGTTTTTTGCGTACGCGAACGCAAAAACCTGAAAGTTTTGGTTAACTTTGAACAATTAACAGCTACGCGAACGCAACTAATAGCGCGCACTACAGCCTGAAAGCACTGGAAAACTGTCCGTTTTTTTCTATTATATTAATCTTGTTAGCTTCAGCAATATGGTCAAAATACAAAGCATCAGTCTTTTTATTACTCAACCTCAGCAAATTTGAATGCCAAATGTGCGCAACCACGGTTGTTTGCTATTTTTCTCCTGGGTTGTGCAATTGAGACTTTTCCTTCTAGTACAGTTTAGAAATAAAAGAGACTGATGCTTCGTATTTTGACGTTCTGGAATCCACCCATATTGCTGAAGCTAACAAGATGAATATAATAGAAAAAAATCAGATATCGAAAAAATGTTTTGAAAAATCATAACAAGGAGGTAAAAATGTTGGTTGATAGCAGTGTTGCCGTTTTGATCCATATACTTCAAAAGTGATACGTGTTTGTGCAAATTTTCGGAAGATACCTTATTTTTTCGCTCATTTGGTGGGTTACTTAAATTTTTCGCGTAGTACAAATTTTGATACATGTTAAAGAGAAAATATTTATGAATTTATGCAGTGGTAGCTTTTAAAAATTGATCGAAAATGTAGAACGTTTCGAGGTCAAATAAGTTTAAAGAAAAATGCTTTAAATGAACTATGTATGTATAAAGAGCTGACTTCATTCATTTTCAATTTACTTTACTTGCCATATTTATGCAGCTGAAGAGCGTACATTTTCAGATTTAAAATTGATCCAATTTGAAAAGAGAAATATAATTTAATTACAAACTGTTGAGAATATGAGGGGCGTATTCATAGTAAAAATAAAGTCGACACTGAAGGCAGTCTCAGCTTTTTGACATAATTTCCAACGAGTATAACGTGGAATGTATCACATAATTTGATAATTAACGTAAATGATCGACATCTAATAGTTTTAGGTATGAACATACATTTAAATTAAAGTTTCTATAAAATCTATACATAATATTTTGGTTCGTCTCTATACAAGTTTAAAAACAATAATATCTTTTTCGATAGATTATCACAATCAATGCATAACAAGGTAGAAGTGATCTCGACATTTCTCTCTTTTGAATTGCGGTGAAATATCAACTCTTAACCCTATACTATTAAAAAAATTTTTTTTTATATAAATTTTCAATTGTGAGCTGTGCGACTGATTTTAAATACATAATAAAATGAAAACGAATTGCGAGCGGTGCGTTGTGTTTGTCAAGAGCCTGGACAACAAATTTGTGCGTTATTTTAAACCTTCGAATTGTCAAGTGAAGCGACAACGGTGGGCAAATTGCAGCGATGTTTCATTAGGAGACTCTTCACGTGTGGTCGTGACTTTATTTGTTGCCTATCGCAGCCGAGTATTTCTAATAGGGAATTTACATGAGGCGATTTTTCACGCGATTTTTAGTTGAAAGCAACAATCGCCTGGTGTAAACGGCCTTTCAACTAATCGCTTTCAATGAAGTTGGTCGGCTGCCTACTTTCGTTCAACTTTTGGTTCAACTAATCGCCTGTGAAAGTTGAATCATGTAAATTCCCTAGAAGTGGACGCGTTTGGTCCCAGGTGCAGGATTTATCATACCGAATATGATAAGAAAATCTCCCTTTCACAAACATGTTGTTGAGTTTGATTATTGATTATTTGATTATTGAAGTTAAGTTCTGATGTAAATTTAGAAGAATCGAACTTTTTTAATGTCTAATATACTTTAGAATTAAGTATTTGAATAAAAAAATAAATGCTCAAAAACATTGGGATAGTAAAAGCAAGAAAATTGTCAAAACGGGTTTATAAATGAGTGTGTTTCATTTAGTGTGTAATTTTGTGTAAGTATGCATTTCCACATTTACATTAAACCGAAAATTCAATAAATAAAATGAAGTTGATTCTAATGAGATTTTAAATATTTTCATATTTACAAAAACTTTCATTTCAAAGATGTTGAGTTCTATCAAATATGGTAAATGCATAACAAAAGGTTACTTTCTTTGTTCACATTTTTTGACATTACAGTCAGGTATGAGAGAGACTGAATTGTCACTTCTACCTTGTTGAAAATGCCTTGGTCACAATATGTAAAATATCTTTCTTC